TATAAGTACAGAAAAGATGAAATTATTCTCTTCAGGTGCTTCGTTTATATCTTTATATTCTGTTTTGGTCATATTTTCAACCTGTTCAGATTTTTCTGTTGTCTATGACGTTTTTTGAGGAAGTGCGTCACCGTATTTGCAGCGAAACTGACAAATAAGGGCATTGACTACCGGTCCAAAACTTCGAGCAATCCGCCATTATTATTTCTCGCTCCGATTTTGTAGTCCGAGCTCAATGATGCAGAAGTTACGAGAGGGCAAGTCAAAATGTTCGGTTTTTGGATGTAGTGACCTGAAGCACTTTTAAAGGATTCCCACTTCAACAACCTCCGCCAGTATACAGAAGGGTTTACCGATTGACTTTGTCTGAATGAGAGGTAAATTCCTTCTATCTTTGGAGATGACGAACAGAGCATTTCGATAAGCTGTAAATATTGTTAATAAAAATAAAGTACTTTCTTAAAACACATGGTGGTCATGGTTTAGCAGTACCTTTGTCTTTCTTTGTTTTTGTTTTGAAGTAACGTTACACGTCTGCAGTATTACTTTTCTTGAGTTTCATCAATGGTCATTTAGCTGCTGTTTTCTGATGCTTTTCTAAACGTATCATATTATTAATACAGATTGTTTGTGGTAAGATTAGACCGTAGTCATTTATCTTGTCAGTGTGCTTGTTTTAACAAGAGAAATAGTCGTCTTTCACTAATAACACAAAACAGTTAACTCACATACCAATACATCCATATGAAGAGGTTGTTCTGCAGGTTCGTCGTCGTCTTTATCAAATCGCTCGCTCCGGCTCGAATATGTAAGGCTTGATGGACAAGTCTTCTGTTGTTGACATTTTATTAAAGTGTGAATAAAAATGTTCTTTGAAGGTATCGTATATAATCGTATATCTCTAATCAAACTACAATAATGGCCGAACGTGGGGAGTTGAACTGACCGTGAACTCATCGACCTGGAGAGCGGGCGGGGTGTGACGCATCTCCTTTTTATTTAAAGGGGCCGCTTTGAAACGGGTCGCTCACAGACGCACATCAGAAAAGGGGTAGAAAAGGGGCTTGTGGAGCTATAATAATGAGGAATTCAGACCCAAGCATTGCAGTTATGTTTTATATAGACCACAACGGTATGATTTTTATGAAAAAATGAATGATTTAAAAGCATGATATGTACCCTTTTAAATGGTTAAATTTTAAGGAATAATTTGATTAATTATTACTCAATTCTAATTTGTTAAATATAATTAATAATATTGCTTGTAATCTGTTGCCACAATTCTATTGATTAGATAAAGTATATTAATTTTTTACAGTGTAAGGAATAAAATAAACTTCTCTTTTAAATATATTAGGTTGATTGAACACAATTAAAATGAAAAAATCGTGTTATTTTAGCTTATTTTAATGAATTAAAGGGTTAGTTCACCCAAAAATGAAAATTAAGTCATTAATTACTCACCCCCATGCTGTACCAACCCCGTAAGACCTTCGTTCATCTTCGGAACACAAATAAAGATATTTTTGATTGAATCTGAGGGCTGGATCACTTTTCCATAGACAGCCTGAGGGACTGCCTCTTGATGGCCCAGAAAGTCATTAAAATAAAAGGTTTAAATATTCCATGTGCCTACAGTGGCTCAACTATAACTTTATCAAGCGACGAGACTACTTTTTGTGCGAAAAAAAAAACGTAAATAACGACTTTATTCGACTTTCCATTACTTCCTTATGGGCGCATGCGCGAGAACTGAGACGAGACCGTTCTTCTTCGATTACTTTTTGTTACCGGCTGCTCACCGCTTAGGAGTTTTACCGCCCCCTACCGTATAAGATGACGTACTGCTTGTAAACAGAACGTTTTGCGCCTCCGGCTATATCAGTACGTCATCTTATACGGTAGGGGGCGGTAAAACTCCTAAGCGGTGAGCAGCCGGTAACAAAAAGTAGTCGAAGAAGAACGGTCTCGTCTCAGTTCTCGCGCATGCGCCCATAAGGAAGTAATGGAAAGTCGAATAAAGTCGTTATTTACGTTTTTTTTCGCACAAAAAGTAGTCTCGTCGCTTGATAAAGTTATAGTTGAGCCACTGTAGGCACATGGAATATTTAAACCTTTTATTTTAATGACTTTCTGGGCCGTCAAGAGGCAGTCCCTCAGGCTGTCTATGGAAAAGTTATCCACCCCTCAGATTCAATCAAAAATATCTTTATTTGTGTTCCGAAGATGAACGAAGGTCTTACGGGGTTGGTACAGCATGGGGGTGAGTAATTAATGACTTAATTTTCATTTTTGGGTGAACTAACCCTTTAAATTGAGGCAAAAATAATTGTTTTTGAGTGTTCATCTGTACTGTTTGTTTCATGCAGGTACGGTCCACTTATTCTTGCCCTGACACACCACTCAGAGCATCAAATTCCTCCCCCACATCACACTGCAAGTCAGTAGACCTCTTAACTTGCATAAAACACACACTGATAGATTTTTGGATTTGACATTTAATGTACCATTGTGCAACCCCCAAGGTTATCCTCTGCTGGGGATTCTAACAGGAAGTGGCAGTCAGAAGAATCCACCTCCCCGCAAACAGTGCCCTGTCCACCTTCTTCTGCTGCACGGGTTCGACCGTTACTCAGGCAACGGCGTCACAGACTCATTCGCCTAGAAGATTGTGCAGCATTGGGGTCAAAGGTGAAGACAGTCTCAGAGTTGCCCTTTCTACTAGCTTTCTGTTATGCAAAGTAACTAATTTATCGGTTGCTCTACATTTTATATTATGCATTGAGGTGGATAATAAAACCGAATTGTTCCTTTTGTGTGTCCCTCCCTCTCAGCCGGTTTCGTTACAGTGTTGGTGTGAACCCCAAACTGTGTGTGTGTTATGTGGTGGTGCTCCTCCTCGCTCCCCATCAGACAAGGAGAAGGGTCTGTGGATGCATCAGACTTTGCTCGATATGTCCGTTCACCCTGTCCTCTCATTGCCATCTGGTGAGATCCTTATATTATCTCTTTCATCTCTTTATTATTATTGTATAAGCACAGAACTCATTTTGCATATCATTTATCTAATTTATGCCATCTAAATTTAGCTTGTACTTCAACAGTACTCACTGTACGAGATTTTAAATGTCAATTTGATGTCCTTGAAAGTAATCATCAGATGTGGCTTTCACATTACAGTGACCCTTAAAACAAATTATTTATATATATATATATATATATATATATATTAGGGGTGCAACGGTACAGATAGCCCACGGTACGGTCCGTACCTCGGTTTTTGGGCCACGGTCTCGGTTCGGTTTCGGTACATGTTTTGTGCAGAAAGAGACTGCTATTTCATCCCAAAAATATGTTTTATTTTTCTTATGAGCATAAACAGAATGTCACAGTAGGAAGAACATCAATGTGTATGGAATAAATTAACACTCTAGTCTGTACTGAACAACACTAAGCAATACAACCTCTTCAACTACCACTTATGATATACAAAATGTAAACGAGCACACTTTAAAATATTCAAGTGGATCCCAATTCCAAACCTTGATAACTGGTAAATGAAGTGATCAATGTGAAAGAAAAAGTGCACTTTTACCTTTAACAAAAATTAGCTTGTGGTTTAAAAAGAGCAGAGCGAAATAATATAATAAAAAAAAATACTGCATTCAGGATACAAAGTGCAATGTTACTAATCCACTTTTGAGAGATTCTTGTGCAAAAATATACTGCAGTCAAACATTTGACTGGGTTTGCGTTATGCATCCACTATGTGCTGGGAATGTAGAGAGTAGGCTACGGAGCCGGAGGTGAGGCGTTTATTTAGTAAGCGTGAGCGCGCTGGGGCGGGCACGTAACTTGCATTCGCAGCCTGACTCATATTATTCAATGTGCGGCGGCTCACTAACAACAGTTGGCTGTTTTGAATGAGACGACCCGTGTGAACGGGGAGCGCTTTATGAACATCTATGACGCGCGAGCAGTGCCGGTGTTCTGTCGATCTGTCCTACCTTGTCAGATTTTCCTACCGTAGCGCAAAATTATAGCCATATCTATCGGTTCATCCTACCTCGTCGTAAAATCCTACTGAGCGTTTCTGCTTCGCGTCTGTGACTTAAGTTACATAAAATATTTCTGTGTAACTTTGCCGAATTTTCTTATTAGGCCATGTTACGGTGATTTTACAGTGCAAAGTAACGTTACCTCTTCAGATTGTCCTATGAAATAAACGATAGGATGATTTTACGTTGCAAAATACCTCATCAGATTGTGCTACCAGTATGAAATAAACGAGTAGTATGATTTTACAGTGCAAAATGCCTCATCAGATTGTCCTACCAGTATGAAATAAACGAGTAGAATGATTTTACGTTAATGTTTTCATGAAAAAAATGCTAATATGAATTTGCTTTGTATGAATGTGAGAGTAAACAGTTCTCATTACTGCTATATATCTTTGTATAGTGAAAAACTTACCTCAGATGAAGAAGATCTCGCGCAAGTAGTAAAATATTATGGGCGTGTTGTTCAGCGTGACAAAAAATGACGTATTATTGATGTGCGCATGCGCAGTAAGCCTTGGTAGGACAATCTGACGGGTAGGATGGAATGTCAGAACACCGGTCTGTTCGTGTGTCTGTTAGAGTGAGCGCTCGTGAGCGACACACACATAACCTGATTTATACGAGGTTGAACTGGCCGTGTGACAAAGCGGGCATAAGCTGGACACGAGCGCGAGTTCGCGGGTGAATTTAATCCATATATGATATGGATCTAATATAAGGCACACTGTTGTTTTTTGTGAAGATTAAAGGCTTTTAAGTGCGCCTTTTATAGTGCGGAAAATACGGTTAAAGGATCAGCACGAACTCTATGGCAGAACCGAAGTCCCGCGGGACACGAGGTTAGATTGTCCCGTGCAGGGCTGACCGAACGGTCCGGGATTTTACCGTGTACCGTTGCATCCCTAATATATATATATATATATATATATACAACATGACATGAACAAACAACATGAACAAACAATGAACAGCTGGATTTGTATTAAATGGATACTCCACTTTTTTTAGAAACAGGCTCATTTTACAACTTCCCCAGAGTTAAACTGTTGAGTTTTACCGTTTTTGAATCCATTCAGCCGATCTCTGGTTCTGGCGGTACCACTTTTAGAATAGCTTAGCATACATCATTGAAGTGCACAAGACCATTAGCATTTCTTCCAAAAAAATTACCAAAGTGTTTAGATATTTTTCCTATTTAAAACTTGACTCTTCCCCAGATAGCAAACTGACATTGAATCAACGTGGAAATATGACATCGAAACAACGTTGATCTGACATTGTTTTGCTCATCGAATTAACGTTGAACCAACGTCAGACGCGTCATTCTTTCAAAACTAACGGAAAATCAACTTGAAATCAACGCGTTGTTTCAACGTTATGAAAGCAAACCAATTTTCGATTTCATTTAGCTTTGAAGAATGCCGCGTCTGACGTTGATTCAACGTTAATTCGATGAGCAAATCAACGTTGTTTCAATGTCATGAGAGACGTCGTTTCCACGTTGATTCAATGTCAGTTTGCTGTCTGGGTCTATAGTTACATTGTGCACTAAGACAGACGGAAAATGTAAAGTTGCGATTTTTTAGGCTGATATGATTAGGAACTATATATTTGTAAGTGTGCATTAAGTCTACTTATACTTTATGGGGCTACTGTGGATGAAATGGCTTCATGGTTTGAATTTCCTCCATTGCAGATTCACCCCTCACACTGCATTGTGGGATACGCCCGCTGGCCGGGCACCATTCTCATAATTCACTGCAGTGGACAGACATGTCATCAGCGTCCTCTTGGCTGGGGAGGCGGGGCCAGGGACGAGTTGGGAGAGTGAGGCGGCGACTAGTTTGTCCCCGTCCGCCTAATGCACTGCCTCCTTTATTTAACACACCTGGTAGGTGAAATGTATATTTACACTTGTTTCATTAAGCACACAATGTGTGTGTGTGTACATATATATATATATATATATATATATACACATTTTTTTTTTTTTTTTTTTTTTCATTTGAAGATGTTATTACTTAAATTTAGCAAGGATCCATTAAATCAAATTATTGTTCAAAAGTGACAGCAAAGATTTTTTTTAAACTTTGTTCATCAAAGAATTCTGAAAAACATTTCCACAAAACTATTGAGGACAACTGTTTTCAACATTAATTTGATTATAATAAAAATAGTTTCTTGAGCAACAAATCAGCATATTAAAATGATTTCTGAAGGATCATGTGTCACTAAAGACTCAGCTTTCCCATCACAGAAATAAATTACATTTTAAAATATGTTATGATAGAAATCAGTTGATTGAAATTGTAATAATCAGTGCATCAGTGCGTTTCCTGTATTATTGGTGTAATAAATGCAGCCTTGGTGAGGATAAGAGGATTTTTTTTTTTTAAGTCTTTCTGTTTTCAAGTTTCAAGTTAACAAAATTGCTTTTGTAGGTGGTTCCGGGTGCAGAAGCCAGCGAGGTGTTATTATTCCAAACTATCTTCATCCACGAGCTCCAGAATTGCCAATCTTGCCGGCAACACCCCAAGCGACAGACACACCTGCTCAGGTAAATCAGGCTAAAAAGGTCAATTGTCACTTACTATTCTCTTTGTTAGCTTCTTAATTCTCTCTTGTTCCTCAGCCTTTGCGAAGGAGAAGAGCGGAAAGCTCGTTTGACATCGACAACCTGGTAATGCCTTTGGGCCTGGCTGGACTAGGAGCACGAGTACAGAAATTGCAATACAAGGAAATTATCACCCCAAGGTACAGATAATGCAGACTTTCAAAACCAGCACAGAGAATATGGACTTGCTCGAAAATATTACAACAGGAAGAAGTGATTATATTTACTACATTTAGCTTTGAGTTGCCTTCCTTCTGTCAGATAGCCATTGTGCAAAGTAGCTTTGTTTTCAAGTAATTTCCCATCAATTATTCAAACACTGTGCCTAGTATCCACTGTTTCCTTGTGTCCCGTCTTTCATAAAGTAGTAAAGCTACATTCCAAACAGGAAGCTTAAAGATAGAAAATAGCATTTCTATCATAAATAATTATTTTCTATCTTTATCTTTATATATATATATATATATATATATATATATATTATATTCATGCCACTAATACATTTCTAAAAATGTGGCTGTTAGTTGGTTTGGTAGATTTGGTATGTGAAAGAATTAGGAACTATTAATTTCAGGGTTCGTTTAAAGTACTTGAATTTTACTTTTTGAAATTGAAGTCCTGGAAAACCCTTGCAGGGTTTCCGCGCGGTATTAAAAGGTAGTAAATAGAATCTACCAAAATTACGGCCCTTGAAAGGTAGTAAAAGGTAGGAAATGCAATTTGACTTGGTAGTAAATTTTTCATCACTGCCTTAATGTATATGTTTCCATTTTATTCCAAAAAAATAAGACTGTCTATGAAGTAGATGTGTCTTATTAGTGGAATATTAAACGCAATATAGTAACATAACTTAGCTGTGGTGCGCGAGCACTGAAACGCGCAGTGGATTGAGCACGCAGCAGCACAGACGGCCGAGCTGGTCGAGCACATCCCTTCAAACAGACATCATAGGCGGCAAGCTACATAGGCCTACCGTTTCACTGAATTGCTCGATGTTTGATATTTTAGTTTACAATTTAATATAATTGACCCATCTTACTACACTACATTGATGCTTACTTTTACTTTTAGCATCAACTACATTGATGCTTACGTTTTTAATTATTTTAAATGACATTTGATAGATTAATAGATATATAGCCTATTTTATCATACCAAAGGGAAATTTTAGACGTCCAGTAGCTTATTCACACACACACACACACACACACACACACACACACACACACACACACACACACACACACACACGCACACACACACACATACACATATCTCATAAACATAAATAATCTAGTCTTTTATGTAGTTGGTTTCTTACAAAAAATGGTGCTAAATAGCACTAAAAGTGGTTAATTGGCTTGTAATCTTATCTTTGTCATATGGTGCTATGTAGAACCATAAGAGGTGCCATAGAGCATGTTAACCAACCCAGAGAACCACTGAAGAACCGCTGAAGAACCAAACTGGGCTTAGTGGTGCTATATAGCAGCATGACCACTGCAAAGAACCCCTGAAGAACCTTTTTTTTAGCTGAACTGCTCAGTTATGTCTGAGTCAAGACATGAGTCAGTGGGCCAGGACTGCAGGACCTTCAAGGCATAGGGGATGTCATGGGACAAAACCAAAGTCCAGATGCATTGTGCATGTCCCTGGTCTTGTATATGGACCACTCGTGCAATTATGGGCAAAAGCAGATTCTGATGCAAGATTAGCCAGAATGAAAGAAATAAGAGACGTGAGATTAGCTGAACCACTGGAATCTGCTCACAGAATGACTGACACCAGACACCATTACAGAAGGTGATGGATATCACAGAGAATGCTAACAAAGATTCACCATGAATCTCAAAAGACTTGACCAGAAGCCTGAACTATTAGCAGCAAGTTCAAGGCAAAGTCAGAGGGCCTCAACTGGTCAAGTCAAGTCACATTTATTTATATAGCGCTTTTCACAATATAGATTGCATCAAAGCAGCTTCACAGTGATAACATAAAAGTAGTACAACACAGATAAAATATATTGTTGAATATTAAATATCCCCGACTAAGCAAGCCAAAAGTAAGGTGACAGTAGCAAGGAACCAAAACTCCATCAGATTGGATGGAGAAAAAAACCTTGGGAGAACCCAGGATCAAAACCCAGGTTCAGAACAAAACTTTGATGAAAATTTGTTTTGCAGAATTAGAGGAAAGGATCTATTTGCTACAGAAGCTAAATACCACAAATCCTGTAGAGTCCAATATACATAAAATTTAGAAAAATGGAGAAGTGCAAACACAGAAAACAAGGCCAAACAAATCCAACTAGTAGAAGCTCACAGTGAGGCATTTGGTGCTGTATCGAAATTAGATGGAATTACAATGTTCATGTGATTGGGATTTTGGGATTAGGGAAGTTTGTGCATTGCAGATGAGCTATGTAGATTTTGGTCAGATCAGTCAATTTCATCATTTTGTTGCTGCCGATGATTTCCTTGTCAATTACTCGAGATACAGCACCAAATGCCTCACCCTGAGCTTCTACTAGTTGGATTTGTTTGGCCTTGTTTTCTGTGCTTGCACTTTTTTTTTTTGCTTGCACTCCATTTTTCTAAATTTTGTGTATATTATACATAGGGTGACCATATTTTGATTACCAAAAACCAGGACACTCGGCCCGGCAAACAGCTGGGCCTACTCAAATGATACTCAAAGTTTACTCAAAGATACCTTATTAATTTCAATAGATTTAAAGTAGGTTATGCCTCCTCTGTATCAATAGAAAATTGTTATATTGTTATAAGAAAACAGGACATGTCCTGGGAAAACAGGACAGTTGGTCACCCTAGTGTATATTGGACTCGTGGTATTTACCTTCTGTAATGGTGTCTGGTATAAGTTCACAGGTTACAGTCATTCTGTGAGCAGATTCCAGTGGTTCAGCTAATCTCACGTCTCTTATTTCTTTGATTCTGGCTAATCTTGCATCAGAATCTGCTTTTGCCCATATATGCACGAGTGGTCCATATACAAGACCAGGGACATGCACAATGCATCTGGACTTTGGTTTTGTCCCATGACATCCCCTATGCCTTGAAGGACCTGCAGTCCTGGCCCACTGACTCATGTCTTGACTCAGACATAACTGAGCAGTTCAGCTAAAAAAAAGGTTCTTCAGGGGTTCTTTGCAGTGGTCATGCTGCTATATAGCACCACTAAGCCCAGTTTGGTTCTTCAGCGGTTCTTCAGTGGTTCTCTGGGTTGGTTAACATGCTCTATGGCACCTCTTATGGTTCTACATAGCACCATATGACAAAGAAAAGTGCTATATGGCACTTAAAGTGGTTCCCCTATGATTACAAGCCAATGAACCACTTTTAGTGCTATTTAGCACCATTTTTTTTAGAGTGTATGTTGAAGAAACCAACTACATAACCGACTAGATTATCTATGTTTATGAGATATGTGTGTGTGGGTGTGTGTGTGTGTGTGTGTGAATAAGCTACTGGACGTCTAAAATTTCCCTTTGGTATGAATAAAATAGGCTATATATCTATTAATCTATCAAATGTCATTTAAAATAATTAAAAACGTAAGCATCAATGTAGTTGATGCTAAAAGTAAAAGTAAGCATCAATGTAGTGTAGTAAGATGGGTCAATTATATTAAATTGTAAACTAAAATATCAAACATCGAGCAATTCAGTGAAACAAATTTCTAGCTGTATAGGCAGAGGATGCAGACTTGGAGGATCTGTCTGTGTGAGTAAGAACAGTCTTTCAGGACAATCTTTATATACCTGTCTGACACAGAGGAAACTATTAATGAAAATTCAACAAATATCTTATTTTGTCATTGGATGAACAACCCAGACAGGTTTCTGATTTGTCAATGAAATGATTTGTGAGCCACACCCCTTTGATGGAAAGGGTAATGAGGGTTGGAATGTTAGCATATTAAGTGATACTATGGAAATGGACCTTGATCGATTATATCCATACAAGGCCTTAACTATATTAAATAAAAAATAATTAAAAACAACTATTTAAAGTAACTATCAATGTAGTATAGTAAGAGTATTGAGTAACCTAAAAGCTGTTCTGATTGACTAGGCCAATCTCGACATGTTAAAATAGCTTAAAATCGTTTTTTAGAGTTTCCCTATTCAGGGCTAAAACAGGTAGTGTATCCCAAAAATGTCAATGTTAACATTCATATTAATATTCTACACATCCAGACCTTTCAGAAAAGCATGATTTTGTCAGGGGAGGGGGTTGGGGTGTATGATAGGCGAATGGTCGTGGCCTATGCATGAAATGGGCTCATTATGTCAACATAAAGCCTTAACTATGTTAATTTTAGACACCTACCAATAAGCAGCATGGTAGATATTTGACCTAAGTCATCATATGTTAAGTTTGAGTGTGTATTGGGTCCCTTAAAAGCTGTTCTGATTGACTAGGCCAATCTCGAAATGCTAAAATCGCTTAAAAACGTTTTTAGGGTTTCCCTATTCACAGGCCTAAAACAGGTAGTGCAACCCAAAATTTTCAATGTTAACATTCAGATTCATATTCTACACATCCAGACCTTTCAAAAAAGTATGGTTTTGTTGGGAGGTGGGGGGGGGTGCACGGTAGGCCTATGTAGCTCGCCGCCTATCAGTGGAATGTTTGTAGTTCAGTCGGATGTCAATGGCAAAGAAAATAAAAACGAATCATCTAGCTTATTATTAACTGAGAGAGAGAGAGAGAGAGAGAGAGAGAGAGAGAGAGAGAGAGTGAGAGGATGTCAATGGCAAAGAAAATAAAAACGAATCATCTAGCTTATTATTAACTGAGAGAGAGAAAGAGAGAGAGAGAGAGAGATCGCGCGCGCACTTCTGTTGAATCGTGATCGTTCTCTCAGCATGTTATTTGGATGAAAACTAAATCGTATAATATGCAAGTAACATGACCTGTTACCTGATTTATGTATAACAAATGAAGTGGTTCCCTACATTATTCCTGGACGTGTGCAGGTCAAGAGTTCCATGAACGCAAACATCCAAATTGCGCGCCCGCGCAAACCAGCGCGTGAATAACGTTGCTGAAAATGTCTTGCGCTTGTACGGACAAATTCAGACAAAATTATGTAAAAACGGCCGTCTTGGCGAGTA